CCCTTCTCCAAACCCCTGGCTTGTGGCTCCTGCTACCCTCAGTTTACAAAGTCTCATTCTAGAGCATTTTCCTCTCACTGGGAGGAACAGGTGAGAATCCATCACCCTAGCTTTCCACCAAACCCTGGTTTCAGCCTCCTCAGCAGCTCTCTGGTCTTTCCCCTCACTGCAGACACAACAATGGGCACTCACCATCTCACCCACCACCTCCACCTCTCCACAGACAGACACGGAGACTGGAGGCAGCCTAGCTTACCAGCTTAAAGAAGGCGCCCACCCAAAGGAGTGAATCTGGCCATCAAACGGGCAATGGCCAACTCTTCTTCTGCCAAGGAAAGGATGCTGGGGTTCAACTATGGCCCCCTCTCCCAGATGACCCATATGTACTTGGTTTGGGTAAATAAAAATAAAACTAGGCCAGGAGGGGTGGCTCACATTTGTAATCCCAGCACTTTAGGAGGCTGACGCAGGAGGATCGCTTGAGGCCAGAAGTTTAAGAGAAGCCTGAGCAACACAGTGAGACACTGTCTCTTCAAAAAATAGAAAAAAAATTATCCAGGTGTGGTGGTGCACACCTGTAGTCCCAGCTATTCAGGGGATGTGAGGGGAGGCTGAGGCAGGAGGATCACTTGAACCCAGGAGTTCAGGGCTACAATGAGCTATGATCGTGCGTGCCACTGCACTCCGGCCTGGATAACAGAGTAAGACCTTGTCTCAAAAAACAAACAAAAAAACCCCAAAAATAAAACTAATTACTTCAATAGACAGCTGACAATTTATGACCAGGTAGGAAAATAATGATTATGTATATTATTACAGATGTCAAATTAGCTTTGTGGCAACTCTCATTTCAACATGACACTCAGTGAAGACCGTACAGGGGTGATGTCAGGGAAATGGCAGAGTAAAGGCCTCCAAAAATTCTCTCCTCCATAAAATGAGAAAACTGACAAAAATCATCAGAATTAACTGCTTCAGAACTCTGGAAATTAATGAGAGGCTTGCAGCAATTGGGGAGTGTTTGTTCAAGATACACAGCTGAGTCTAGACAGGATGACAGCCTGGAGGCATGGGATAACAGTTGGGCAAACAATACAGACTAATCGAAAAGCTTAAAGGGAAAAGCTCGGGAATGAGATGTCCATAGGGGCTTTGAAAAGCTCCAACTTAAACCTGGGAATCTAGAAGGCCATTTGGATGCCCAGGAAAGACCTGAGAAGGCCCTCAGCTCTCACTTCTGGGTGACCTTGAGGCTCTATGAAAGCAGGAAACGTTCAGCTCCGAGATCAAGAAATAGCAACTCTTAAAGCAGAGTGGTCAACTGCTGGCTGGAGTGTAGAAGATATGCCCCAAAAGGCATATAGAGCCCCTCAGCAAAGACTGGGAGACTTACTGGGTTCAGGCATTTAAAGTTATCTCTGTCCAATCATTAGCTATCAATAAGCTAACAAAACAGAAACTTCAGTGACCACACACGATAAAGAATAGAGATTTAATAGAATTTTTTCAGAAAAGTCAGTAAACA